TTGTGATGGGCCACAGGTGTAAATTTTATTAGACAATTTTAGTGGGACACAAAAGATTTGAGAGTATCTTGCTGTAAACTTTTCATTTCTAAAGTCATATTTATTGAATGATTGCTACGTACCTGGCACTCCCAACAGTCTTGGGGATGCAGTGATGAGCAAATCTAAATAAAAGGTACCTGACCTTGTGGGTTAGTAGTCTTTATGGGGGAGAGAGACATCAGTCAAATCATCATAGAAGAAATGTAAACTTAAACTGTGATATATACCATAAAGGAGGGGAACACAGCTATGAGATGGTATGATAGTGGGGGAATTAAATCAAGACATTAGGGAAGGTTTGTCTGAGGAAGTGGTTATTGAGCTGAGATCTTATTTTTACATAGCGTTAGCCAGGGACTGAAAGCATTATTCTATTGCAGAATATGTGATAAAACATTAATAAGCTGTTTGCGGGTTGTCAGTTCTCAGTGTTTTCAGACCAGACACCAAATCATACCAATCCAGATTGTTTTTTTTTTTTGCTTGCCAATATTCAGTTTCTTTTTTCAGGACTGTATGTGTCAGAAGTGAACTATGTGCTTAGCGTTTGAATTCTGAGATGACAAGTCCATGATTTTAAAGGTATCAAGATCCAATAACAATTGCATATGATGGAAGGGACTGTTTTATTTATTGTTCTTTTGTTTATTCATTTATTGAGCAAAGATTTATGATTTATTTGCAAAGCACTGAACTAAGTTTTGCTGTAAGTGAGCTTGACAGCAACAAAATCTGTACCTTTTGCAGTTACTCACAGTTAATACAGTGTGCAGGAGCTTTGGTAGCAGAGTGCTTAAGCGCTTGGCTGCTAAAAGGTCGGCAGTTGGGAATCACCAGCTGCTGTGCAGGAGAAAGATGTGGCAGTCTGCTTCTGTAAAGATTACAGCCTTGGGAACCCTAGAGGGCAGTTCTGCTGTGTCCTATAGGATCACTATGAGTCGGAATAAGCTCAACAGTAGCGGGTTTGGTTTTTTGGGTTTGAGTATAGTGTGCTAACTGAAAATTGAACTGTGTTGTTGGGAGACTGGTGTTACTTACATAAATCATGGTAACTGTGAAATTCCTGCATATGGAACTGTGTAAAAGGAGGACCGCCTGTATATGCATAATGATGGGAATGACGCAGTGAATATGGACAACTTTATGCTGGAAAGGAAAGAATTCATTCACTTAGCAAATACTGTTTGAGAGCCTAGAATGTGTTTGACAGTCTTCTAGGTTCTAGAGATAAATCAGTGAGGAACAGTCAAGCTTACATGAGTTTACAAAATAAGTAAACTATATATAGGTTGGAACCCTGGTGACGCAGTAGCTAAGAGCTATGGCTGCTACGCAAAAGGTCGGCAGTTCAAATCTACCAGCTGCTCCTTGGAAACCCAATGGGGCAGTTCTACTCTGTCCTGTAGGGTTGCTATGAGTCAGAATCAACTTGATGGCAATGGGTTTTGTTTTTTTTTAATATATAGAGTAATCATAATTCAGTAATTAGAGTGGGAACACTTTATTGGGATATAATCAGTTGTTTAAAGTGTACAATTCAGTGTTTTTTAGTATATTCACAGAGTTGTGTAATCATCACTATAAACTAATTTTACATCATTTTTACCACCCCTAGAAGAAACCTTGTACCCATTAGCAGTCACTCCTGGACCGCCTACCCCTACCCACACCCCCAGGCAACCACTAATCTCCTTTCTGTCTATGCATTTGCCTATTGTACATATTTCACATGAGTGGGATCATGTAATATTTGTCCTTTTGTGTTTGGCTTATTTCACTTAGCGTAATTTTTCAAGTATCATCCATGCTGTAGCATGTATCAGTACTTCATTCCTTTTTTATGGCCGAATAATATTCCATTGTATCAGTACATACCACTTTAGCTGAGGGACACTTTTTGGCTATTATGAATATTGCTGCTGTGAACATTTGTGTGCAAGTTTTTATGTGGATGTATGGTGAACTAGGACACTTTTGAAAGTGAAAGGAGACACTTGATAATTACATCAGGACGGCAGGTGTGTAAGCTGGGACTGTCCCAGGCAAGCTTGAAAGCGTGGGCATCCTAATTGTATAGTATGTTAAAAGGTGAAATTGTGTGCTGAAAGCAAGAAAGAGGAAAAGGGGGGAATGAAGTGCTGTGGAGAGAGTGGTGGTGGTTGCAGTTTAAAAAAGCGTGGCCAGTGAAGTCTCCCAGAGAATGTGACAATTGAGCAGAGACTTGAAGGAAGTGAAGGAGCAGTCCCTTAGGAGGCATTGTGCTTGGTGTTAGGAGAACAGCGAGGAAAGGAGGCCAGTTTAGCTGCAGCTGAATGAGTAAGGGAGAGAAAAGTCAGGAGTTGAGGTCAGAGAGGTACCGAGATTTGGATCATGTAGAAACTTTCTCGGCCTTTTATGGTTTATAATATTAACCTTCCTAATTGACTACTGAGAGGAATAAATAAACTACTTAAATAAACATTTTTTGGGAAAGGCCCTGACTATTCCTGGAGACTTAAACATTCACAAGAATGAGTGTGTGTGTGTGTGTGTGTGTGTGTGTGTGTGTGTGTGTAAACCCTGGGGACATAGTGGTTAAGGGCTACGGCTGCTAACCCATAAGGTGGGCTTTTTAAATCCACCAGCCGCTCCTTAGAAACCCTATGGGGCAGTTCTACTCTGTCATATAAAGTTGCTGTGAGTCGGAATTGACTTGATGGCAAGGGGTTTGGTTTGGTTTGGTTTTATATATGTATATATATATACATCCCCACTTTACAAAAAAGGGAAATTGTGGCACAGAAAGGTTAAATAAAAGTTGCCCAGATCACACATGAATGGAGTCAGGATTTGAACCTAGGTAACTCGGCTCCAGACCACATTCTCTTAACCAGTATCTTAGTCTCTGCCCGAGGAGTGATGGTTGAAGTAATGGTAGTTAGAAACATAAAGTCATCATGAAGTGGCAGAGGAGTGATTAGGGGTTCAGTAGATAATAGCAACAGGGAGGGTTTGTGAGTGTTAAAGTTTGGGGGTCTGAACTTCAAAACAGTTTTTGAAGAAGGAGGGAGGAGAAATTATATAGAAGTAGAACTGAGAGGCAAAGGGAAGGGCATTAATTACCTTTGAAATACGTGATTTGGAAGGAGAAAATCCAAAGCCTACATTCAAGAGAGTTACAGGAGAAAACAATACCAGAAGGCAGTCAGCCAGGATTCAGTGAAGGAAAGATGAAGAAGGCAACTCCTCAGTGTGGAGTCACTGCCTTTGAGTTCCGGAATGTAGAGAGAAAGGCTTGGGGGAATTGGGAATGGCAGGTATTACGGGGACAGTCATTCTGGTGATGGCATCTTGGCTCTTGGTAGTGCCTGAGGTGTACAAAGATACAATACATGAAAGGGTCAGTTCTAATATTCTCTGGCAATGGTTGGAAAACCAGTTTTGAAGCTGCTGAATATGGAGGCACCGGACAATATATCAGAGTGGTTTGGCATTTATTCAGTGAGGACAACATGTAAAATTTAAAGACTTTTTGTTTTGAATGCTTGGAAATGGTAACAACTTTTTCTTTTTCTTTTTTGTGCAACAGGATGGCTTGAATTCCTTGGTCCTTGATTTGGATTTTCCTGCTTTGAGGAAAAACAAGAATATAGATAATTTCTTAAATAGATGTAAGTTGCATTTAAACTTCATATCTGATTACATAGCTATGCTTTAGATGAGATTATTACTTGATAAATATTATACAGTCCATAAATTATTAAGGCTTTTTTTTAGTTTACCACTTGATTTATTTAAAAAGTCACATCCTTTATTTTCAAAGCAAAATCGCAGAACCAAATTGTAGTATGACATAAGTAGGTAAAGTTCACAATTTTGTATACATTGTTAAGACTATTTAGCTGTTCCAGGACAGGTTCTTTGTAGCATTTGCAAGAGAAATTTTAAATGAACATTGACAACTCTGAGACTTTGCTTTATATTACTCAGAAGACCTAATGAGCTTGTGTTTGTGTAAATGTGGACATTTCAGTGCAGTTAATGAAAAATAATGTGATGACAATTATTGTCATATATGTGATAACTCTTAATAAATATTTGCCACTGTTGACACAATGAAGGAATAAATGAAATTGAATTCTAAGAGTAAGAAATTCTCAAAGCCAGTATGATATCCTTTATGTCATCACAATAAACTCTTTGATTTGAAATTGTCAAATATTGGGATATTATCCTAAATTGAACCATCTTTTCCATAGTTACCATATATACAGTTACCATTTTTCATAGCAGTGGGCTGTTAAAATTCACTACCAAGATTAACCTTGAAAGTAATTTAAAATTTCTGTCATGATTCAAAATGCACACCAGGATTGCTTGGGTCATCACTCTGTCGACTGTCATCAAACTTGCCAAGCAAAAGAGTCAGAAGCAGAGTAGCTTTAACTGCTACCTTTTGATAATCAGTAGTATTTGTTTATATGTGTTAATAAACCATAGAGATTTTTGGTACATTGATATTATATTAGTTGGCCCTGGTGGCGCAGTGCTTAAGAACTACAGGCTGCTAACCAAAAAGTTGTCGGTTCGAATCCACCAGCTCGTCCTTGGAAACCCTGTGGGGTGGCTACTCTGTCCTATAGGGTTGCTATAAGTTGGAATTGACTTGATGGCAATAGTTTTTTTTTCTTTTTATCTTAAGATTTTTAAACAGCCGCCTTTAAAACTAACAGATTTAACTGAAAACTAAATCTAGTTTCTTGAAATAAAAATTTGTTTCTGAATATGGTGATTGTTAAAACTATTGTTTATAAATATGATGATTGATATTACAGATATGGTGATCTTTTTATTGTAGACGAGAAAATTGTGAAAAAAATCAGAGGTCTGCAGATGAAGGCAGAAGACTATGATGTTGTAAAAGTCATCGGAAGAGGTGCTTTTGGTGAAGTCCAGTTGGTAAGAAAGTTTTTTTTTTTTTTTTGTTCTTCTTCTTTCTTTCTGTTACTTTTTTTTTGACATCATAATTTTGTGAAACATTAATAGCAGCTAAGTAGATCTAATTTCTGTGCCCAGTCATGCCAGAAGTTAGCTTTCTATATCTATGAAATGAGGAAATTGTGCTATAAACAAACACCAGGTCTCTTTTAGCGCTGAATCACTATGATTCAGAATAAGGGCCAAATTGGCTTCACATGTTACTATTCAGTCAGAACTACTATGTTTCTGTGTAGCATGTTCAGTTTGCTAACATATCTGCTTAATTAACTGAGGTGTACTTAGATACATCAGAAATCCAACTAAGGTTTTTTTTTATAACTGAAAATAAACCTGAAATTTATCTTTGTAGGCCAAAGTGGTACCAACTTAAAATGCTATAAATTTTTGCAGTAAATGCTATGTTTTTATTATTAAATGAGGAGCTATGATAATATTTCCACTTTTTATTCCCTCAGTATATGAGATTCCTCTTTTTGTCTTTGTAGTTAAATTACAGAGAGTCAAATTCTGTGCTTTACTCAACTGTGGTACTCCTTTTGATGGAGCACTTAGAAAAGAAGTGATCAGTATAAGGCAGCATGGGGTTTCTCTTAAGAACAAGTCATGACAGACTAACGTTTTTCTTCTCTTCATTCCTTTTTTTGTTTATTAGACTTTCGCTAGGTGTAATACATGTGTGCATTGGAGTAGTGCAATAAGTGTAATATATAAGATATTGGACACAGTCCAATTTGAAGACAGTTGGAGAAATCTCAGCTGAATAATTGTATGGTTGGGTAGCTTTCTAACTGTTTTAATATCTGTATTCAAAGAAGACTGATGGAGGTACTGGTGGTACCTTGGACAAAGATCTCCAGGAACAGGTTTCAGGGCTCTCTCCTCTGCTGTTAAACATTTTATTAATGATTTTTATGGGGATAGTGGTGGCATGTTGTATAATTTTGTAAATTATTTAAAACTGAAGTATAACTGATGATTTTGGATAATGAGCACAAATCCTGAAAGCTATCAACTGCGAAGTTAATTGGCCAGATAAGAGAAGTGAAATTTAACTAAAATAAATGACTTGCACTTGGATCTGAAGAACTCAAGGACTTGATTCCTTAACAGTAATGTGTGAGTTAAAGAACAGTTTTCCCTGAGTGTAAACCAAGCAAGATTCATTAGGGATGTGGCTGCCTAAAATAATAAAGACATTTGAGATTATTTTCACGTAATTTCTAAGATCATGGAGGAGTTAGGTTTTTTGTATTTTGAGATGATTGTGCCATGCCTAGAATATTTCATTAATTCTAGATACCCTCCTGCCCTGTTTTAAAAGGGACATTAATAAAGTATAATCAGTGGATGGAAGTGCTCAGGGCACTTGAAAGGATGCCGTCTGAGGAATGGCTGAAGGAATTAAGAGGTTAATTTGTAACAGACTGAGGAAAGGGCTGCCTTGGAATGTAATGAGGGTTTGTTTTTGTTTCATTGTTTTGTTTGTTCATTTTAGTAAAAATGTTAATACTTCAGCTGGTAGATTTATGATGCTCTAGTGGAGAGGATAGGAGATTAGACTACATAACAGTTGAGTTATGAAACATCCTATAAGATGGAGAAAATAGGGAGTAGTTGAATCCTGGTTCTGCCGTTTTCTAACTGAAATATCATGGTGACCACAGGTGTATTTCTCATTCTCTCTGACTTCCAGCCTGTAGAATAGAGATAATAATACCTATCTAATGGGGGTTCTTGTTGGGGATTAAGTGAAGTAACAAAATAAATTAGCTTGGTTATAGTGCTCCTGATTGTTAGCTATTACTATTGCCTGCTTGAGATATGGAATCATACTACGTGTATTTGGAACAGATACATTGTTTCTGCATATTATGAGTCACTGTAGTTAAGGAAGAGAGACTAGAATTTGAAGTTCTGTTTTTGGAAGGAAATATGATAGACCTTGACTTGTCATGTGTTTGTGGCACAGTAGTCATTGTTCTGTGTTAATTTGACCATTAAAATTCAATATGCTAAAGGAAGGAAAGGAAAAGAAAGAAAAATGTATAGTTGCAGAAGGCTTTGATTGTTGTTGTTAATTTTCCATCCCAAAATTTGTTTTGACCACAAAGTATGCAGAAAGAAAGTTGTATGTTTTGAAAAATGAAAAATATTTTAATATCCCATTAATCTGATGACCTGGTCCAGGAGCTTCCAGCATGTTTGTTTTGGCTTTAGTTCTTGGTTCTGTAGCCTTAGGCAGGGACTCTTTAAAAGAAGGATGATTGAAATGAAGTAGCCCAAGTGCTTCTTCCACAGTCTTTTAAAGTTGATTCTTATGTGATAGATAAGTTAATATGGTGAGTATGTAGGGAATATTTCACATTTAGCACATCTACATGATTTTTATGTTTTTCTAGTCATCTGAAGGAAGTTTATGATAGTGGGTACTTTGCTTGTGAACTATTTTGATTAAGTTAAAAATACATTACTACAGAGGGCTCACCAGTCAATTTCTACGAATAAAATTCTCATTGTAACATTGGTATATCACAGGACAGTATTTAAGAGAGAGGTTTTAGAATGAAGACTGCTTGCAGTTAAATTCTGACTCTACCACTAACTAGCTGTGTGACTTCAGACGAGTTACTTAATTTCTCTGTGCCTCAGTTTCTTGTTAAATGAAGATAACAATAGCATTTATTCCTCATAGGATTACTGTGAGAATTCATTGTGAAAATACATATAAAACACTTGGAGCACCTGGAACATAGTAAGTGTTCAGTAAATGTTAGCAGTTAATTGTCAGGCATAGTAATGGTTTATTCATCCATCTGCCCATGAAATACTTAATCAAGGTCTGTTATATTCTAGGAGTTGTGCTAACCTCTAATGATACAGTAGTGTAGTCTCTATCTTTCTGAAAGTGGTGATCTCATGGAGGAGACAAACATTAAATAAGTAAAGTTATAATTTTATATTATGATAAATAGTATGAAGGAAAAGATCTGGATTCTATGAGAGAGAATAATTGAGGGATGTACCTGATTCAGGAGCCCTGGTGGCGCAGTGGTTAAGAGCTTGGCTGCTAACCAAAAGGTTGACAGTCCGAATCCACCAGCTCCTCGGAAACCCTATGGGGCAATTCTAGTCTGTCCCATAGGGTCACTATGAGTTGGAATCTACTTGATGGCAGTGAGTTCGGTTTTTGGTTTGGTACCTGATTCAGGAGTCTCTGAGTGGTGCAAAGGGTTAAACACTTGACTGCTGACCAAAAGATTGGTGGTTAGAGCCTACCCAGAGGTGCCTTGGAAGAAAGACCTGGCGATGTGCTTCTCAAAAGTCACAACCACAAAAACCCTATAGAGCAAAAACCCTATAGAGTGCAGTTCTACTCTGCACACATGGAGTCACCATGAGTCGGAATCAACTGGATGGCAACCTTTTTTTTTTTAGTTGAACTTTAGATGAAGGTTTATAGAACAAACTAACTTCTCATTAAGCAGTGCATATATTGTTTTATGGCTTTGGTTAACAATCCCATGACATGTCAGTACTCTCCCTTCTCAATCTTGGGTTCCCTATTACCAGCTTTCCTGCCCCCTCCTGCCTTCTTGTCCTTGCTCCTGGGCTGGTGTGCCCCTTTAGTCTCGTTTTGTCCTATGGGTCTGTCTAATCTTTGACTAAAAGGTGAACCTCCAGAGTGACTTCATTACTGGGCTCAAACGGTGTCCGGGGGCCATACTCTCGAAGTTTCTCCAGTCTTTATTAGGCCAGTTAGCCTGGTCTTTTTTTGTGAGATAAAGTTTTGTTCTACATTTTTCTCCAGCTCTGTCCGGGACCCTCTATTGTGATCCCTGTCAGAGCAGTCAGTGGTGGTAGCCGGGCACCAACTAGTTGTACTGGACTCAGTCTGGAGGAGGCCGTGGTAGTTGTGGTCTGTTAGTCCTTTGGACTAATCTTTTGCTTGTGTCTTTAGTTTTCTTCATTTTCCCTTGCTCCTGAAGGGGTGAGACCAGTGGAGTATCTTAGATGGCCGCTCACAGGCTTTTAAGACCCCAGACGCTACTCACCAAAGTAGAATGTAGAACATTTTCTTTATAAACTATGTTATGCTAATTGAGCTATATGTTCCCTGAGACAATGGTCCCCACAGCCCTCAGCCCAGCAGTTCAGTCCCTGAGGGAGTTTGGATTTGTCTGTGGAGCTTTGTCTACAACCTTTTTTTTTTCCTTTTTTTAATGCCTGATTCAGATTAGGGAGTTTGGAAAAGCCTTGCTGTGACAATGCATTTGAGTTAAGATGTAAAGGACTTAGCCACATGATGAGGTGGGGTTGGGGTGGGAGTGGAAACATAGGGGGAACAGCATGTGAAAATATTATGAATCAGGAAAATGCCAAGTTATTTAACTGATTTGGGAATAGATTTTCTTATCTGAAAAAAAAGGCACTTCTTAAAGTTTGAAAAGTTCTGTAATTCCAGAGTGGTAAAATTTGCTTAGATTTTATCTTTTTTTCTATTCATTGAGGAGATGTACATTAATTTTATGTTTTTATATCATGAAAGGTCTGTGATATGGATGATTTTATCTAATACTAATGTTGTTATTGGATTACCCGTAAAAAACCAAACTCATTGCCGTTGAGTCGATTCCAACTCATAGCGACCCTATAGGACAGAGTAGAACTGCCGCAGAGGGTTTCCAAGGGGCGGCTTATGGATTCGAACTGCCAACGTTTTGGTTAGCAGCCGAGCTCTTAACCACTACGCCACCAGGCTCTGTTATTGGATTAGATAGATATTAAAAGAGCACCATGCTCAAGGCAGACATGCTTTACTAGTTAACCTAAACTATTGTTTGTTTTTAAGAAGACTTCAGGGGTTATTTTTGGTTTAAAGATTATCTTAGGGCGATAGTTTGGGGAATTCATCTAGCTTCTGTGGTTCCAGAAAGTCTAGATTCCATGAGAACTTGAAATTCTGTTCTGCATATTCCCTCCTTTGATCAGGATTCTTCATAGAATCTTTGATCAAAACGTTTAGGAATGGTAGCCAGGCACCGTCCAATTCTTCTGGTCTCGTGGCAAAGGAGGCAGTTGTTCATGAAAGCAATTAGCCATACCTTCCATTTCCTCCGCCTCTTCCTGACTCTCCTTTTTCCTTATGTTGTATAACTTTTTGTTAGTTTGAATGAGTGGCTTTTTTCTTCCAGGTTTTTTTTTTTTCTATTTGTTTAGTTATCTCATATGTAAAAAATGCCAGTTGCTTATATTTAAATATTTTCTACCCAAGGACAAATATCTTTTAGTTTCTGTTTATAGCTGTGCTTTTAGCAGATTTCTTAAAACTGTTCTTGTCATGGTCCTGATTCAAGCATAAATAATATTATGGTATAATTAATTGACTGGCTCTTAATGTTGTATGGAGAGCTTTCTCTAATGAAGTTAGGGAACATTCAAAATTTGATTTGTGCTTATAAGTGCAGGTTTGAAGTGTGGCGTAAATACAGAAGACGAAGTACCTTTGCAGTTTTTTTTTTTAAACAGCATTGCTAGAGTGAGCATTTGCTTTTAGATAATATGCTAATCCAACACAAGTCAATTGAAAATCTGGTCTGTCTGCTGTGGAAGGGGTTTCTACTTTAAAAACTAGGATCCTTCATCCTTCTTGTCCCATTTGTGTTTCCATATTGCTTTCCCATGTATTTATTTTCAGCATTTTTTAAATGTCATACCACTGTACAAATTACACAAGTCAAAGGAATTGTTTTACCTCTTCAGCAATTTAATATAGAAGATAGATGTAATTTATGACCCCTCATCATCAGTTACTTGGCTCTTTGCATATAGGATTCTTTCCATATAAAATCACAGTGTATCAAAATACTTGAAATTTCAAAACATATTAAAATGAGAAGTGATGTTGCCTATTAATATAATTTTTGTAATTATAATTTGGGTAGGCAGTTGGCATTCTGGGCTGTATTTTCTTTATATCCGTACTTGTTCTGTCAGGTACTGAGAGAGAGGTGTTAAAATTTACAACTGAAATTGTGGATTTGTCTGTTTTTTTCTTTAGTTCTGTTAGTTTTTGCTTATTTTTACAAAATGTTGGCTTTATCTCTTGTAATACTTTTTGTCTTGAAGTCTACTTTGTTATTAATATTGCTATGCCAACTTTCTTGTCCCTGCTATTTGCATGGTATATCTTTTCCATCCTTTTATTTTCAGCCTATTTGTGTCTTGTATTTAAACTGTATAAAGATGGCTCTTCCTTTTTAATCCATTCTGATAATTTCTGCCTATTAATAGGAGTGTTCAGTCCACTTATATTTAATGTGATTGTTGATATGATTGGGTTTAAGTCTACAATTTTGCTTTTTGTTTGTTTTGTGTGTCTCTGTTGTTTTCTTTCCTGTCTTATGTTAGAATAATTGAATATTTTTTAGTATTGCATTTTATTTCATCTTTTGGCTTCTTAGTGATATCTTTTTTAATTATTATTATTTTTCAGTGGTTACTCTAGGGCTACCAAAATGCATCCTTAACTTATTAGAGTCTATTTAAAGTCAATATTGTACCACTTCCCGCTGCTTACTTTACATTACACTTACCACTGCACAATAGTAATAATCTTAAAATAGCATAATTTCTTTAACAGCCCCCTCCCATTTTTTGTGTTATTGTTGCCGTAGCTTATACTTCTTCATATGCTTTTAACCCTGTGTGGCAGTGTTTTCATTTTTGCTTTAAACAGGCTGTTGTCTTTTAAGCAAACTCTGAGAAGAAATAAAAACATGGTGTTGTTAGGTGCCGTTGAGTCATTTCCTACCCGTAGCGACCCTGTGTATAACAGAATGAAACACTGTCTGGTCCTGCACCATCCTCACAATCATTGTTATGCTTGAGCCCATTGTTGCAGCCACTGTGTCACTCCATCTTGTTGAGGGTCTTCCTCTTTTTCTCTGACCCTCTACTTTACCAAACATGATGTCCTTCTCTAGGAACTGGTCCCTCCTGATAACATGTTCAAAGTATGTGAGATGAAGTCTTGCCACCCTTCTTCTAGAGCGTTCTGGCTGTACTTCTTCCAAGACGGGTTTATTTGTTCTTCTGGCAGTCCATGGTATATTCAGTATTCTTCACCAACACCGTAATTCTAAGGCAGCAATTCTTCTCCCTATTTCTTATTCATTGTCCAGCTTTCACATGCATATGAGGTGATTGAAAACACCATGGCTTGGGTCAGGCGCACTTTAGTCCTTAAAGTGACATCTTTGCTTTTTAACACTTTAAAGACATCTTTTGCAGCATATTTACCCAATGCAGTGTGTCATTTGATTTCTTGACTACTACTTCCATGGGCGTTCATTGTGGATCCAGGTAAAATGACATCCTTGATAACTTCAGTCTTTTCTCCATTTATGATGATGTTGCTTATTGATCCAGTTGTGAGAATTTTTGTTTTCTTTTTGTTGAGGTGTAATCCATGCTGAAGGCTATGGTCTATGATCTTCTTCAGTAAGTACTTCAAGTCCTCTTCACTTTGAGCAAGCAAGATTGTGTCTTCTGCATATTGCAGGTTGTTCACGAGTCTTCCTTCAATTCTGGTGCTGCATTCTTCTTCATATAGTCTGGCTTCTGGGATTATTTGCTCAGCATACAGATTGAATAAGTATGGTGAAAGTATACAACCCTAAAGCACACCTTTCTTGACTTTAAACCATGCGGTATCCCTTTGTTCTATTCAAATGACTGCCTCTTGGTCTAAGT